GTGCTAATGTAAGTATAGTGCTGATGTCAGAATACTGCTTACCTCAGAATAGGACTGATGTGAGAATAGTTCTAATATCAGAATAGTACTGATGTGAGAATAATGCACTTATTATTCTGTGTGACCACTTAAGTGTATGATTCATTAGCTTAGTTGTCAGCTAATGACTGGACAGAGATTTTCTTAAGTGCCTGGAACCAAAAAATTGCTCAGTGTTTGCTTAAGGGCTCTGTATAAATTTGGGGGCATGCCTTCGATATTTAGCCAGACAGCTTCTACCTTGTCTTCAGCTTTCACTTCATGCTTGCACAGAGCCTAAAATCAGGCAGAGGTGAGAGCAGTTTAGGGTGTCTCTGCTCTTCCCTGAGCATGCACACAGTCCTGAACATGTGCATAACCTTCTAGATACCCAAGAATACATAAGTGCTTTTCAAAGTCCTTATGGACATCTCATTTCTAACCTTTTTTCCAAAGCCTTTTAGTTAGCTTATTATTTACCTCAACTGTTATCCATTGCTTCAGGCAGCAGTGACTACTGCCACCCGGGTAGTGACATTAGCACTGAGTTCCAGTTAGGTAAGATAAAAACAAACTTTTCAAATGTGTCTTTCAGGGAGCCATCAACAGATCAAATAAGGACAATCTTTTCAGATCAGGTCTATGGTGCTCTGTTAAGTACCAGAAATGTGAGATGTTCTTTTCAAGGCTACTGCTGAGCTTGGGAGCAAGGTATACAACTAGAGTAGCATAAGTTAAAATACCACAATGATAATGCTTGCTGTTCTTACCAAAATTCAGGTTTTTTAAAAATAACCCAGGTTGCTGTGAGCTTTTAGTTTCCAGAGCTCTGAAAAAGTTGTTTTTACAGATCTTGGGGGCCACTTTTATTGTTTTGATGGAGAGGCACTATTTCAAATTCCTTAATCTGCCATTTTTGCTAATGTCATCACTCTGTAATATAATTTTACATCTTAACCAAATAGCTAGTTAATAACCTAATCATTATGATGACCTCAGAATAAAAACTGTACAGTTGCAGCTTGAAACTTTATCTGTGCTCTCCACCTCTTCAACTGAGTTATAAAGGATGATGTTAGTTCATTTTTTCCCTTCTTACCTACATCTACAAGTACCTATCAAACTGTGTTATGTTTATGTATAATACATGTGGCTATCTCTGTGAAAGACTGGGAATTCCTAATCACAGACATATGATCTGGTGATATTTACAAACTCTGGTGCTTATCACAAAACCTGGCCCCCAGTGGGTACTCAATAAATGTATTCAATAAGAGTAATGAAAAAAACAATAGCTAACATATATTGAGTTCTAAATGCTAAGAACTGTCTAAGCAAAATTTTAAACTACTTTTTTAAATTGGGAAATATGCAGACAAGAATTCATGTAATATACATGGAACATTTAAAAAATGTTTAAAAAAATAAGACATAACAACTCTGCAATAGAACATGATCAATAACTTCAGTATATCCTGTATTTTCCTCTTCATAATCTTGAATTGTGTTCATCATTTCCTGTTTTCCTTGTAGCTTACCACATGTGTATCTATGAATAATTTTGTTGTACCTTTTATACAAAGTTATATAAATGAAATCCTACTATATTATTGTGATTTTCTTTTCTTGCTCAACATTATGTATTTGAAAACCATTCATTTTTCACTACTGTAGAGTATTCCATTATATGGATATATCTAAAAGATATGTGAGCTAATGTTAGTCAAGACAGGATGGGTTATGCTGAGATAATACACCTCCTAGGGGAGAATAAAAATAGAAAAAGTTTCCAGGATCAAGCCCCAGAGTATCCCAACTTTTAGAAGTCATGTAGAGTCAAAAGAGCCAGGGAAGAAGGTTGAAAAGGGGGTTAGACAGTAAAGTGGAAGGAAAACTAGGAAAAAGCAGTGATATAGAAGGCTGGGAAGGATAACATTTTAAACAGAAGTGTGTGGAATGCTACTGAGAGTTCAAGAAAGTAAAAACAGAGAAGAATCCATTGGATTTGGCAACGTACAGTGCTGATGGAGATCTCATTAGGTTAGTTTTGGTGTAGTGGTGAGAGGCTGAAGCCATATTGGGATACTTTAAAGACAGAATGAGAAATAAGAAGTACCTGACAGCATGTGTGAACACCCATGAAAAGAAACAGAAATGAAGCCATTAGGAGCCGAGAGGTGGAGAGTTTTAAAAAATATTATGAACACTACATGTTGTGTATCCCATTGAGAATAATCCTATAGAGAGGCCAGAAGTAACTGGTGAAGTAAAACGAAGTGAAAACCCAGAGGGGCTCAGAGATGACAGAATGGGAGCCAGAGCACGAAGTAAGGGAACAGCCTGTCACGGGAAGAGGGATACTGTCTCCAGGGCAAAGGGAGGGAAGACGGAGAAGGCGGTGCGGTATTGGAGAGTAGGAAACTGAGGGAGATTAATATCACAGCTTCTATTTTCTCAGTGAATTATGAAGAACATTAACTAAGAATGGGGGTGAAAAAGTCATCTTGAAAAGCGGGAAGGTGAGTTTCCAAAGAGACAGTAAAATTATGAAGCAATATGGGGTGCCTATCTTAGTCCATTTGGGCTGCTACAACAAAATAACTGGGAGGCTCATAAACAAGAGAAATCTACGTCTCACACTTTGTGGTTGGGTAGTCCAAGATCAATGCACTAGCAGATCTGGTGTCTGGTGAGGCCCACTTCCTCACCAAGCAATATGGGGTGCCTATCTTAGTCCATTTGGGCTGCTACAACAAAATAACTGGGAGGCTTATAAACAAGAGAAATCTATGTCTCACACTTTGTGGTTGGGTAGTCCAAGATCAATGCACTAGCAGATCTGGTGTCTGGTGAGGCCCACTTCCTCACTGCTGGCTGTCTTCTCACGGTAACCTCACATGATGGAAGGGAGGAGGGTCTCTCAGGCCTCTCATAAGAGCACTAATCCCTGCCAACCTAATCACCTCCCAAAGGCCCATCTCCGAATACCATCCTCTTGGGGGTGAGAATTTAAACATACGAATTTGGGGGGAACATAAACATTGAGACTATAACAGTGCCCATTTAAAGACTGTAATCATGAATTTAAAATCTATCAATCTGCACGTGTGATTCTTCCCAGGTAGTATGCATCTGCTCAAGTACAAGCACAAGGAAAGAAATGGAAAAGTTCAACTAGAGAAGGGTTTTGCCAGGCAAATACTTTCTCTCTCTGAAAAAACGGCTGACATGCATTTTCTAAGTTATACTTTTGCCAAATCAAAATAGTTCAAAATGCAAATTATGAAGTGCACAGCAAATCTAAGTGTTATGCTAATGGATTACCACTCATAATCTTCTATTTTGATTTGGTTCTCAAGATCATGATGCCATATTCTGTCTGCTGGTATTTCGTTGGTTATCTCAGTTTTGCCCTATATTATACTTCCTTTTCTATTAGTACATTTTCTAAAAACACATCAATGAAATATATAAAAACACTGCAATGACTGCTGCTCTAGAAAGGGCTTAATATTTTATTTGAGAAAATCAGGTAAAAAGAAAAATACATCTCTTCCTAGAAAACAAAGGAATTCACTAATGGCAAGGTATTAATCCTTTTTCACAGTAAAAATAAATTATGTAAAATTTAAGTTCTTAATTTATATTATACATTATTTTGCATCTTTTGTACATCACACATACTGACAGAAAAAGATTAAAAATACAGATTTATACCCAAAATGGATGATATATAATCACTTTTGTTCCAAAAGAATATTAGTTATAAACAATTATAAACTTCAGACAGATGAATAGGCCATATTCTATAAATACTAATTTGTTACATATTATATAATCTACTATAAATATTAATTTTATGTTAGTACTTCTCACAATATTTTGAACTAGTCCATTTTTTTCTTGTGCCTTAGTTTTCTTATTTATAATTTAGGGACTTACCCCTTTTTATAGATTTACCAGAAATTAAGACTTTTTGCTAGTAAGTAGTTACATCAAACACATTGAAAAAAAATTTTTTTAAATATAGTGATTTTTGAATCTTCTTCATAGGTAAAGTTCTAAAGAGTCCAAATCACACTTTGTGAGGGGCTATCACAAAGAGAAGACACACTGCCCATTAGCAACTCTTCCTCTGGCAGTGTTTCTTAGTGTTCAAGTAGATCAACATTTCTTCGTTTTGAACACTACATGAAATTTGTAATTGGTTGGATTTAGGATCCACACTGTGTGACAAATACCTACCTCTAGACACGAAGCTTACATGCAGCTCAGGATGCCTACATACTTAAAACTCACTGGAAGCACTGAGCTCCACCTTGAGTTCCATTCAGAGCATCCACAGAGTGGAATCCACCCTACTTAAATCACTTTTTGCTCTTTTTTTCCTTTGTTGAGTGTATATTTAAAAATCACATAAATTGTGTGCAGTCAATTATGTACTGTGTGCTAAAGTAAAACAGAAAGGAGATTCACTGCCATGTACACCAGCAGCACAATCTACTGTTATTTTTCTCTCTTCTAACAACCCTTTAAGGATAGTTATTTTGGGGGCAGACCATAGGCTAGATTCAAAAAAGCTACTAAGTACACCTACTTACACTAATAAGAAAGCAAATGAATCTTTAGGTAAAAAGACATTTATTAGATCATATCCTCATACTAATTCTTAAATTTAGACAAAATTTTTACAGCTATTCATTTAGAACTAGTCTGATTAAAAAACCCCACAAATCTCTCATACTACTTTTTGCCATACATTTATGATCCAGAAGAGGAGAAACTTCAGAGCTGGAGAGGTGGCTTGCAAAGAATGTTGCATCTCTCTGTATAGAGTAGATAAAGAGCAATACTAACTCAGGTCAATGTGTTACTTACTTCCATGTTATTGAGACCAAAAGAAATTACTAGGAAATACATACAATCTTATGATACAAAGAAAACTCTAAGTATCAAATTTCAAAGTAAAGATTAACAGACTAGAAGACAAACTTCAGTGTTTTAGGCATACAATATTTTGCTAACACAATCAAATACAATAATCATGAGAGAAGTGTCTGCACTTGGTGTGGTGATCGGTGTAGAATGCTCTCTGGATCTTTGTATTCATTCACTGGATTCATCACAGCTGCATACACTTCACTATAGGCTCTGCAGACTAATTCTGTAGACTGTTTCACGATCTGCTCTCTATTGATAAACAAACAAAATGTGAATACATCATCTGAAAAAAAATATTCGCTAAAAATTGTAAGGAAGCTTCATATTTGAATCAATGCATTTCACTTTCATAATTATCATATTTATATTATTCTAAATCAATATACAACTACACAAGTTACATGATTTTGGGATAGGACATATTTTTTATATTTATTAAATTCTTCTTCATTACTTTGTAGGTTCCAGAAGGCAGGGTGTTTTGTTCACTGCTGTATCCTTAGGGCTAGAACAGTGCCTGGTATATAGTGGATTGCTAAAGAACAAATGGAAACTGTGACCCATCATCAATGCACTGATTTTGCAAAAGTGACTGATAACACTTTAAGAAAGATGCTCACAACTACTCAAATTTATCAACACTTTTTCTTTTAGAAAAACTTACAATAAACTGCCCTTTCACCTGCAGCTCCTACACAAACAACCACATCTCCCAGGTTTCTCTTCATCTCTCCTTATCACTGAGCTAAAATGTGATACTTGCTTACAACAAATCGTAGCATTCCCACCAACTATACATTTCTATAAAAGCATAGAAAAGAAGATATAGTCTTGCAAATGCTTTGAAAATTACCTAGCTAGAAAAGTATTATTGGGTTCATTAAATCTGCATCACTTCTCTCCACGTTTTCATGGCATTTGCTTCCTGTTATCCCCTGCTCCTTGTACTATTTATATATCATTATATCTAGTCATGAGAACACTGGTACTGATTTTATAGATTTTTATGGAAACTAAATAAAGAATGCGTCCTTCAACCTTTACACCAAGACCCACCTTCCTTGTAGTGTTTCCCATTTCTGTTAATGGTATAACCAGGTCCCATCAACTCAGTTCATGTTCTAACATCTCTTCCTTGGAGTACACAAAAACTCCTATCTGGTCTTCCCCCTTCCAGTCCCTTCCATATACAATCCATCATAAGCACTGCTGTTAGATTAACCTTTCTGAAGCATATTTCTTATACCTCTCCCTTAACCTGGTGCTTTCAAGGAGTTTCAATGGCTTCCTTTGATTTCAAAGTTGACATTCCTTCCCCCACCGTTCAAAATCCTTCTACTTTGTGTATCACTACTGTAATCCTGCAGTCCAACGAACTCCCGACTGTTCCCTCTGCCCTGGTCTTGCTAACCTCAGTTCCCTTGCTCACACTTCTCCATTTGCCTAGAATTCCTCTCTTACTGCTTTTAAATGCCCTTAATGTTCAGCAAATATGTAATCTCTCTTCCATGAAGTCTTCCCTCATCTTTGGAACTAGAAATAATTACTTCCTTTTTGGAATGTTCGCTGCACTTTTTCTGTTCCTCTCTTATGGCATTTACCACTCAATTTACATTAAAGCTTCTGTATCGTCTTGATTCTTTGATCCTGACAGCTTTGTGTTAGGAAAGGAGATAGTTCACCATCACAAGCATATAACAACTGCAATATAACCCAATTCAAAATGTCAAAATACACTTTAAAAAATCTTTGGAATTACAGAAATATATGATGTTCACATCTTAGTTGTCCTGCAAAACTTCAAGTAACTTGATATTGTTCATGTTCCTATGTGCCTACTTTGAATATGATGTGTGGTCAATAAGTGCTCACTGAATGTTTGAAGAAGAAATATATATTTTTTAAAAACTTTAAGGAATCCTATTCTGGGCTCATAAGCCACCATTCTTTTCCACAAGTATGGAGTTAAGTGACTATCTCAGGCCAAGCTTTTTCTTCACATAGTCAAGAGTAAGCTTATGTGACTGGCCAGACTAACACAATAGTGAGGGTGGTAATAATAATATTGTGTTAGTTGCCACACAAATCAATGCCATGAAATCACCATCAACAGAATATATTCTTTAGGCTGTTTTTCTAGGTGTTCTTTCTAGCTGTTCTTTTCTGATGACAATGGCCAAATTAATATATTTGTAAGACTATCAGTAGACATGTGCATCTGTGGTGTATAAAAGTACAAAAATAGTTCGATGGCATAAGGAGAAAAGTCCACTTATGATCTTGGATCATCAGTACTTTGTTCTCATGGGATCCAAACTCTTGGAGAATTGAAGCAGCCTGACATTGTCCCGAAACTGTGAAAGATTCCAAAATGAGAGTGGGGAGAAGGAGGAAATGCTGAATAAATTCTCCGATCAGACCTTTCTGCTAGAAGGAATGATAGTAGAAACTGGTTTAGAAGCCTATTTAACCAAACGAGGCTTCAAGACATTTTTTGATCTACTGATTAGTGATCTTTCCTATAAATAATTGAGCTTAGCAATAAATGCACCAAAATGATGTAAAAATTATTTTTTCGTACATGAAATAGATGGTATTTAAAAATTTGTTAGGTGTAATATACATTTGATACCCATTTTGCAGCAAGTCAGATACTGAATTTTAGAAATAATATTTTTAGTTCTTTACTCAAAGCAATATGACAGATTTTGGAGGGGTGTATTAAGCATCGATTACACACACCTCACACTCTAAAATTATATTCGATCTGAACGCAGTGTATATTTGATAGTATATAAGGAGTACACAGAAACAAGGCTATTCCTTCTCACAAGAAGTTTAAGGTCAGAAAAAGGTACAATAATGAATATCATAAAATTTTTAAAAATCCAGAGTAACTGGTAAATGAAGAATTATGGAAAATTCTGAAGTAGTAAAATTTAAGTTTTATTTCTAAGTCCTAATGATGAAAAATTTTAAATTTACTGAAATTTAGTTGTAACTCAGGACACATTTTTGTTTCTAAACTAAATTAGCTTACAAATATCTGTAACTCACAGACAGCTGAAAAATCATTGTAAGTCTGCAACAGAGAAAAACATAGCAATACTGCTAAAGCACAGATAATTAAATAAAACCAAGCCAATAAAAGCAAGCAAGAGTTTATAATTTATTTTAAATTTTGGTGTTTTATGTTATAGAGCTTCTTAATTCTGCTCCTCGGTTGAAGAAGCTATTGAGATAAAGAAGGGATTAAATAATGAACACAGGTAAGCTGGAGAAGAGAAAGAGATAGCAAAGCTGGTGGAGAAAAAGAAGACTTGATGGCAGTGGGTCTTAATTCTGCTCCTCGGTTGAAGAAGCTATTGAGATAAAGAAGGGATTAAATAATGAACATAGGTAAGCTGGAGAAGAGAAAGAGATAGCAAAGCTGGTGGAGAAAAAGAAGACTTGATGGCAGTGGGAAAAAAAAAAAAGGGAAGGAAAAGGAACTTTTCCTCTTGGCCCCTCAGCTAGCTGCTAAAGCCAACGGGACAGAAATAAAATAAAAAGGGAGATTCTCTAAAGTGAATCTGAATCAAACTTGAACTGTAAAGAGAGAGAACTCTGGCTGATAGTGTGATTCCTCATTACTAGACAAACATGAGTTCACTCGCCACTACCAACACCAGGTATAGGTGCCTACACTCACCTCCATTAAATGTTTGCTAATGAATTCTACATGGAACAGCAGAGACAAAATGGTATAGTGCAGAAATTACTGTCAGAAGACTTAGACTGTAGTTGAAGCTCTGCCACTGCCACTTAATATTGTTGCCTTGAACAAGTAATTTAACTTCTAGGACTACTTTCTCCACTGTAAAACAAAGTATTGAACTAGATAATCTTTTTAAGATACTTTCAGCTTTTAAATTATACTACTCCACTAAGAGTTAAGAATATTTTAATGAACTGCTGTTGAAAAAAAAACCTCTCCCTTATTGTGTCTGTCTACCTACCAACACACACATACATACACATACATACGTACACACACATTATTTTGGGGAACTGGGTTCCCTAAATAATGACTTATGATAAGCATATCAGTTATTTGCATATAAATGGATGTTTCTGTAGTGCTAAAACAGTTTTACTTTCTTGCCATTTTCTATCCTTTTTATTTACAGTAATAATTACCATGTAAATTTATCCTTTATCTTAAAAAGTATATGTATCTGTCTATCTGTCTATCTACACTGTCTGCCTCACTGTTGTCTTGGTCCAAATTATTTACTAATCACTAGTATCATATATGAAATAGAGTCTCAAATAATGATGAATCATTACAGCCATAAATAATCAATGTCCAAAATGGGAAAGTTTCAGATATTCTATAACTATATCTAAAACGACCAACAAATCAACCCAGTCATGTGCTTCTGAATGCTTGGAATTTCCTTATCCACTAATCACCCCAGGTACAAGGAGAGCACCCCAGGTACATAGAAAGCACTTCCTACACGGGTGGTTGAATGGAAAGAAAAAAAAAGTATAGATAATGTTGCCTAATTTCCTACTTGTAGACAATTTCATCAATATCTTTCTTAAAATCAAGGTTAGACTATAAAATCTCTCAGTTTCTTCTAATTGTAATATTCTAATATTTTAATGTACAGTTCTTTGCCCTGAACATAAATATACAATACTGAACAATTTTATATGTACAGAAAACTGCTTAGGTCCAAAACAGTCTATAAAAATAGTTCATCTGCACTGAACAATGAATATATTATTGATCTTCCATGACATATTCAATGTCATTCTGACACGTTTATTAACATAAGGGAATTAATTTGGTATTATGGCTATATAGCTCATATTATATTTAGAGTAATTTAAAAAATCATTTACTAATTAGAGATTTTGGAATGTCATACAGGCAAGGGATAAGTAAGGGCAAGGTCAGGTCAGATCTCTTGGGGTACAGAGGCAGAAAAAAAGGTTGAAACTATAAATCTTCAATGGTAAATTTTCTATTCATGAAAATAAATTTTGTCCAAGAAAAGTACTTGATATTTAAAAATTTTTAAATATGTGAATATTTGCCAACTTCTTGGAACCAAAAATACTTACTTTACGGTTGCACTTAGAAGAAAGTTCAGCTGTGGCATTAACAGGTTGTCTGGAGCTGACAGATAGCGATCAAATTGAACCTAAATGAAATAGGGAAATGCAAAACATAAAGTGTATGTATTTGTGAACAAACATCTCAAATATAACCATCTCTTTTTAATGATTAAATCTTAGAAAATATCCCATATTCCAAATAACTAAATCATTGTGTTCAAATTAACATTTCTTAAACATTCTAACTAAAACATCCTAAAACTATCTTCTTTTTAATACGAGGGTGCTTCAAAAAGTTCATGTAAAAACAGAATGAAAAGATAATACAAATCTTTCCATGAACTTTCATATTTATATTTGTATTTTATATTTTGTATTTGTATTATCTTTTCATTCCATTTTTACACGAACTTTTTGAAGCACCCTTGTATAGTCAATACTAGCAATACCTACTTTTAAAATCTTAAATCCAAACCATTGATTTCACCTCTGTCAGCAAGCTTTTGAGAAATATTAACAAGTCATCAGGTTTGAAGTGTACCTTACTTCCTTGCATCTACTACATTTGTTCATTAATTAATTCATTAGTTCAACTAATATTTATCCAGTACCTACCAATAGAAAGGTACTTTATTAGGTAATGGAAATATGATGATGAGCAAGAGGACAGTCCCTAGCTTCACAGAGTTTATGGCCTGATGAGAGAGGTATGAGGATACTTCCAAAAGTTTATGTAGAAACTGAATTAAAAGATAACATGAATCCTTCCATCAACTTTTGAAGACTCCTCCTATTAAGCAGATAATAATGTAAATACTCATACTATTACAAACAATGTTAAATGATATGAAGGAAAAAAGCAAGTTATCATAAAGCACAAACTGGGACCTAGTCTATGAGTTTGGCAAAAGCATCTCTGCGGAAAGGATGTTTGAAAAGAAATCTTTTTTTTTTTTTTGTCTTTTTTTGTGACTGGTAAGGGGATCGCAACCCACCAGCCATCTCTATATAGGATCCGAACCCGCGGTGGGAGCGCTGCTGCGCATCCAAGCGCCACACTCTCCCGAGTGCGCCACGGGGCCGGCCCGAAAAGAAATCTTAAAGATGAATAGACATTAAGCTGGGGTAGGGGATGGGGTTCAGGGACAGGAGACGGCATAAATAAAGGGAGTGCGCCACGGGGCCGGCCCGAAAAGAAATCTTAAAGATGAATAGACATTAAGCTGGGGTGGGGGATGGGGTTCAGGGACAGGAGACGGCATAAATAAAGCTTGCGGAGAAAAGGACAATGGCTAGATAAGTAGAGATCACATAGGACTCATATGCTTATTTNTCTTAATTCTGCTCCTCGGTTGAAGAAGCTATTGAGATAAAGAAGGGATTAAATAATGAACACAGGTAAGCTGGAGAAGAGAAAGAGATAGCAAAGCTGGTGGAGAAAAAGAAGACTTGATGGCAGTGGGAAAAAAAAAAGGGAAGGAAAAGGAACTTTTCCTCTTGGCCCCTCAGCTAGCTGCTAAAGCCAACGGGACAGAAATAAAATAAAAAGGGAGATTCTCTAAAGTGAATCTGAATCAAACTTGAACTGTAAAGAGAGAGAACTCTGGCTGATAGTGTGATTCCTCATTACTAGACAAACATGAGTTCACTCGCCACTACCAACACCAGGTATAGGTGCCTACACTCACCTCCATTAAATGTTTGCTAATGAATTCTACATGGAACAGCAGAGACAAAATGGTATAGTGCAGAAATTACTGTCAGAAGACTTAGACTGTAGTTGAAGCTCTGCCACTGCCACTTAATATTGTTGCCTTGAACAAGTAATTTAACTTCTAGGACTACTTTCTCCACTGTAAAACAAAGTATTGAACTAGATAATCTTTTTAAGATACTTTCAGCTTTTAAATTATACTACTCCACTAAGAGTTAAGAATATTTTAATGAACTGCTGTTGAAAAAAAAACCTCTCCCTTATTGTGTCTGTCTACCTACCAACACACACATACATACACATACATACGTACACACACATTATTTTGGGGAACTGGGTTCCCTAAATAATGACTTATGATAAGCATATCAGTTATTTGCATATAAATGGATGTTTCTGTAGTGCTAAAACAGTTTTACTTTCTTGCCATTTTCTATCCTTTTTATTTACAGTAATAATTACCATGTAAATTTATCCTTTATCTCAAAAAGTATATGTATCTGTCTATCTGTCTATCTACACTGTCTGCCTCACTGTTGTCTTGGTCCAAATTATTTACTAATCACTAGTATCATATATGAAATAGAGTCTCAAATAATGATGAATCATTACAGCCATAAATAATCAATGTCCAAAATGGGAAAGTTTCAGATATTCTATAACTATATCTAAAACGACCAACAAATCAACCCAGTCATGTGCTTCTGAATGCTTGGAATTTCCTTATCCACTAATCACCCCAGGTACAAGGAGAGCACCCCAGGTACATAGAAAGCACTTCCTACACGGGTGGTTGAATGGAAAGAAAAAAAAAGTATAGATAATGTTGCCTAATTTCCTACTTGTAGACAATTTCATCAATATCTTTCTTAAAATCAAGGTTAGACTATAAAATCTCTCAGTTTCTTCTAATTGTAATATTCTAATATTTTAATGTACAGTTCTTTGCCCTGAACATAAATATACAATACTGAACAATTTTATATGTACAGAAAACTGCTTAGGTCCAAAACAGTCTATAAAAATAGTTCATCTGCACTGAACAATGAATATATTATTGATCTTCCATGACATATTCAATGTCATTCTGACACGTTTATTAACATAAGGGAATTAATTTGGTATTATGGCTATATAGCTCATATTATATTTAGAGTAATTTAAAAAATCATTTACTAATTAGAGATTTTGGAATGTCATACAGGCAAGGGATAAGTAAGGGCAAGGTCAGGTCAGATCTCTTGGGGTACAGAGGCAGAAAAAAAGGTTGAAACTATAAATCTTCAATGGTAAATTTTCTATTCATGAAAATAAATTTTGTCCAAGAAAAGTACTTGATATTTAAAAATTTTTAAATATGTGAATATTTGCCAACTTCTTGGAACCAAAAATACTTACTTTACGGTTGCACTTAGAAGAAAGTTCAGCTGTGGCATTAACAGGTTGTCTGGAGCTGACAGATAGCGATCAAATTGAACCTAAATGAAATAGGGAAATGCAAAACATAAAGTGTATGTATTTGTGAACAAACATCTCAAATATAACCATCTCTTTTTAATGATTAAATCTTAGAAAATATCCCATATTCCAAATAACTAAATCATTGTGTTCAAATTAACATTTCTTAAACATTCTAACTAAAACATCCTAAAACTATCTTCTTTTTAATACGAGGGTGCTTCAAAAAGTTCATGTAAAAACAGAATGAAAAGATAATACAAATCTTTCCATGAACTTTCATATTTATATTTGTATTTTATATTTTGTATTTGTATTATCTTTTCATTCCATTTTTACACGAACTTTTTGAAGCACCCTTGTATAGTCAATACTAGCAATACCTACTTTTAAAATCTTAAATCCAAACCATTGATTTCACCTCTGTCAGCAAGCTTTTGAGAAATATTAACAAGTCATCAGGTTTGAAGTGTACCTTACTTCCTTGCATCTACTACATTTGTTCATTAATTAATTCATTAGTTCAACTAATATTTATCCAGTACCTACCAATAGAAAGGTACTTTATTAGGTAATGGAAATATGATGATGAGCAAGAGGACAGTCCCTAGCTTCACAGAGTTTATGGCCTGATGAGAGAGGTATGAGGATACTTCCAAAAGTTTATGTAGAAACTGAATTAAAAGATAACATGAATCCTTCCATCAACTTTTGAAGACTCCTCCTATTAAGCAGATAATAATGTAAATACTCATACTATTACAAACAATGTTAAATGATATGAAGGAAAAAAGCAAGTTATCATAAAGCACAAACTGGGACCTAGTCTATGAGTTTGGCAAAAGCATCTCTGCGGAAAGGATGTTTGAAAAGAAATCTTTTTTTTTTTTTTTGTCTTTTTTTGTGACCGGTAAGGGGATCGCAACCCACCAGCCATCTCTATATAGGATCCGAACCCGCGGTGGGAGCGCTGCTGCGCATCCAAGCGCCACACTCTCCCGAGTGCGCCACGGGGCCGGCCCGAAAAGAAATCTTAAAGATGAATAGACATTAAGCTGGGGTGGGGGATGGGGTTCAGGGACAGGAGACGGCATAAATAAAGCTTGCGGAGAAAAGGACAATGGCTAGATAAGTAGAGATCACATAGGACTCATATGCTTATTTTAAGGATTTTAATTCTCATCATAAAAGCATTAGGAAATTACTGAAGTTAAGTAGGGGAGTAATCTGATTTAAGGTTTAAGAAGCTAAATCTGGCTATTGCAAGGACAATAGAATGAAAGATTGTAAATGGTAACAGTAGATGTAAGAACACCAATTAGGTAGCTATGGCAGCAGTTTTAGACTACAGAGACAATCAAGGTGACAGAAGTAAAGACATTTGAGAAAGTCAGTGTAAAATCATCAGGACCTGATTAATGATAGGAATGAAGGGGCTTACTCCCAGATTTTGGATCTGTATAATTTAATTCCTTATATTAACATAATGCAAACCTGTATACTTCACACACTTATTTAGTTGTGTAATAGCTGCATTCCTTACTAGATAAGGTCTATTTTCATTTCCAGTTCTTAACAATATGCCTACAAAACAGCAGAAACTTGGTTAATAATTGTTGAAATGATATATGGATAGATGTTCTTACCACTTGAAAGAGGACCCAGATTGTGGGCAGGGGCCAGTGTTAGTTTTGAACTAGAAGTGCCTTAGAAAAACCTCCAATTGGGGGCAACGAAAAGCTGTATATAAAACCATGGATCCATACAAAATTCAACCAAGACTTTGTTTCTTTAGAGACATAATACATTCAATTTAATTGTTTTTAAATTAAGACTATGCACATAAGAATTTTTAATGGCGTTTAAAAATATTTTGTAGGTTATATTATGGACTGAATATGTGTCAGGAGAGAAGGAGAAACAGAGGGAGGAAACACATATTTATTGAGTACTAATTAATGTTACTAACATTTGTGTGTACATGTATTCATTTTTTGGGGGGGTAAATACCTTAAAGTGGAATTACTGAATAGTATGGTGATTGTATAAATAACTTCCTAGAAAACTTATGTTTTTCATAACAAATCTAAAATTACTTCATTTTCATTTACTTTTATTTGAGCTTTTTTTTTTTTT